CCAGGTCCGATATGTTTTTTTTTTTTTTGAGTGTAAAAAAGGTGATGGTAACACTGCCGCCTCGCGGAGTAATTGGCTACTGAAATTGCATTTCCCACCCCCACTCGGCAATCTTCTGCAACCATTCCTTATCGATAATCACGTCGGTCTCTTGTGGTGTTTGGGGATCTCGTCGGAAAAAGAGATGAAAGGGGATGATGAGAGGGCCACCAGAAAGTTTGACTTCATCCATGTTGTTTTCTGAGACCTCAATATGTTGGGATCTTTGGGATGTGCCATTGCTTGAATCCCATATCCACGTGTCAATACTAATCACGGGTCGCTGGCGATTGACCTTGATCGCAACTGCAACATTAGCATTCCCTCTATTGGGGTCCAGCCAAAGATTGACATCACGGTCAAGTTTGCGTCCAGTCTCTTATACAGCGACTTCGAGGATCACCGTGGGCCGCTTAGGACAACCACTAGGGGGTCTTCTTGGCCCCCAGCCCATATCTACCCGTTTGATTCGATCATTGACATCGATGTCGACATTGTGATAATGACGGACGGCTTCATCAAGGCCCATGCGCTCCAGGGCCTTGTCGATTGCCTTATCGACGGCGCAGCCAATTTGAGTGTGCTCACTAGTGACCGTCTTGGCGACAAGTAATCCGGTGTTCGGGTTGAAAGACGTTCGGATTGAATGAATAGGGGTAGCGTCCGGTCCGAGGAGATCCTGGTGAAAAGTGGTAGGATTTATTGAAAGGAGAATGTATTCGGTGATCTCAATCGTTGGATCTGGGTCATTCCTGCTAGATGCTGTATCGATATCGGTAGTATCACGAGAATTGCGCATTGAATCGAGCAGACGTTCGCGTTCAAGGCGAAGTATTCGAAAAAAATTGATCTTTTCCTTCATAGACATACCGTCTAACAGATGGAGGTAAACCCTCCGAATCCAGATCGGGTTCATTTTGTTGTAGATCGGACATTTTGCAAGATATGTTGATGCCGAGCGGACGTGTCAAGATAAATCCCAAGATTTCTATAAATGAATGCAGCTTTAACTCTCTTCGTAGCGAAGGTTAAGCACTATATGTAATTCATTCAATGTTGCGTCTCTTACTAAAGACCGTAAGATGAGTAGCTGTAAATGTGACGGAACCAAAATGAATTAATGTTGTTTGGTTAATTCTCTGGATCTTATTGTTTAATGATCATCATTTTCCATATTCTGATGATCCGAATAGCCGATTTTTCGTCTCAGTTCTCGATTCTGCGCTTTGATCACTATAATATGCTCTTGTATATCATGAAATTGCTGCTGCTTTTGGATCTTAGATCTCCTACTTTCCTGTAGGCGAATCTCTAAGGAGGGGTTGTGAGATTCAAAGTGGAAGACCTCCTGACTGAATTTAGAATATAAGCAAAATTCGGTTTTTACTCTGGCGGAGCTTTAGTATTTTAATCATTTGTTTCTGGTTTACTCTTGGATATATAAGGCTTTTGGCTCACTTTGTTGATGGTTTCGTCTCGGCACCAAAGTATGATAATATATTTGGCGTCCTTTTTGGCTGATTCTGTCTTAGTGGATATCTTAGATTCAGGAATCGAAAGGATTTGGTCTTGTAGATGTTGATGATTGAGTGTGATGGTCAAGCTGAAAGCGGCAGGCATCGGAATTACAGTCATGTTTCATGAGTAATATATATTTCGAATCCGTTTAGGTCTATCTATATTTAATTGAGACTTACTATTGGGCTAGTCTCATCTAAATTTATACACACGCAGGTCTGTACTATATTGTATCTTATATCAGATATATATCAGATGTACTGAAATTCATGACTGCACCAAGCTGAGATTTTAGCTGACAAAACCCGCTCTGGAGGTTTGACCTCGGGACGTAATAAAAAGCTCTCGTTGATGGATCTCCAAGGCTAGATTGCATCGATTACAGCAACACAATGATTTGGAATAATGTTATGCACTGCCCGTCAAGTTATTCACGAATTTCATAAACCAATCAAGAAACAGGCATCGGCTCGGTCGATTTCCAATTCCGTCGAGCTCCTCTGGATACCCAGTGGCCAGCCCGTGGCCAATTGGTAAGAAAGTGAAATCAACCGAGGTTGATTCAGATTATCAGATTATCAGAAGAATACAAGAGAGTCATCTTCTCCTTGCATTTTTCCCTTTATCACATTCTGCCAAGTCTCTCCGGTCAACTCTCCAGTTAACGACGTCATTCTATTCATCCCCGCGGACACTCCAACCTATTTTCGCATATCCACGTCAAATAACAACCATGTCGTCTGCTACATCTTTCTTCGACTTTGAGCCTGTCGATAGTGCGTATAATCCGTGTGGTGTACCTGCCTATCTTCTCCCCTCATTGCATCCAAATAGAAGCTCTGAAGAACCGCTAACCAAACCCCGCATATGAACAGAAAAGGGCGCACCCTTCCCCCTTTCCTCGCTGAATGGCAAGGTCGTGTTAGTCGTGAACACAGCCTCGAAATGCGGCTTCACACCCCAGTTTGAAGGTCTAGAGAAACTCTACCAGGACCTGAAGGCCCAGTATCCTGATGACTTCACCATCATCGGATTCCCGTGCAACCAGTTCGGCAGCCAGGACCCTGGCTCGGACGATGAGATCCAGTCTTTCTGTCAACTCAACTACGGCGTCACGTTCCCCGTGCTCGGGAAACTGGATGTGAACGGCGCTAACGCTGCACCTGTTTGGACTTTCCTGAAGGAGCAGCAGCCTGGGATCATGGGCATGAAGCGCGTTAAATGGAACTTTGAGAAGTTCCTCGTCTCTGCCGATGGTAAGGCTGTTAACCGCTGGGCTTCTCTTACCAAGCCCGAGGGACTTAAGGATACCATTGTTAAGGAGATCGAGAAGGCGAAGAAGGAGGGCACGCTTGCTTCGCTGAAGAAGAGTGAGGCTGGTGCTGAGCAGGCTAAGCTGTCCTGAATGATTGTGGTGATACCTTCATTTATTTTCTTGTATCTATATCCCGGTGCTTCTGCTTATGATATACTCGTTTTTTTTCGGTCTACGATTTCGGTCTACGATCGGAATTATATAGTGATAATAGCAATTCATATCCTAGTCTCAAAGTTCGCTGATACCCTTTTGTAGAAGCCGTCGCTAGTTCACTTCCTTGGATCTATATCCATCTTCCCTTAAAATGAGGCCCGATTCGGAATGCCCGAGTGTCCTCGGTGCCCAAATTCAAGCAGAGGAAGCACCCTTGGGAACCAGATTCCGTAGCGAGAGATCGTAGACCACATCCTCGACCTTCTTGACCTGTAGTCCCACACAAATTAGAAATTTTAGAACTATGAAATAGACGTTGCAGTGATTTCAACATACGCTGTACTTGATACCGTCGCTGCGCTTGCGCAGGATATCGTTCTTCAAGTTCAATAGCTGGAACCCTGCGAACAACTCCTTGACAAAGTTGCCAATCTGCATAGGACGGGTGTAATCACCCAGGGTGACTGAGTTGACAGCCAAGCGAGCCTGGGAACGAATTAGATGTGACCAGACAGAAAAGCTCTGAGATTTGGAGAAACGAACCAGTTCCTCAACCATGGCAATCACTGCCAATAGGTACTCCTCGATCGTCAAATGGAAGGCATCCTGCTCTTTTAGGTTGACAGGAACTAATGGAAGAAAGGCGAGTTAGTATTATACATCAAGGTATGCATACAGCACCCATGGTGCTCATCATAGATAGAGATAAGCAAAACGTACTGTCCAGGAACTTGCCCACATCCTCGATGGTCATGAAAGATGTTGAGCTGGGTCCCTTGTGCTCCTGCAGTCCTCCCAGCCATGCGCAAAGCTCAATAGAGGCGACCTGATAGATTGGATCAGCAGAAGTTTTCGGACATCGAAGTTCAGAAGACAAACCAGGTTTTGCAGCTCACGGCTCCATAGTCCGTTGTACTTGTAGAAGGGATGTTGGTCTGCCACGGCCTTCAGGCGAGTGACCTCTTCCTTCTGCGCGAGGATTTCCTTGGTGACGTCGTCAAGCACAGGCTTCACTATTGTAGAAGTCAGCCAGATGGTTCATGGAAAATAGTGGAATAATATGCGATGCTGTTCCGGGAGGAAATTTAGGAATTTGAACGCTATACAGCGAAGAAAACGGAGAGACAAGAGGAGAGATCAATCAAGCAGTGACTCCAAATGGCATGGAATTATGCCCAGCAGTCTCATCTGACCACCTGAAATTGACAACAGATACTTACACTGATCAGCGGGCGTGGAATGAGCCCGCGACAGGATAGCCTGTGTGGAACGCCCTGTATCATTCAATATCAGTCCTCATGTTCAACCTGCAACTTCAAATCCGGGAGTGCCGTTCCCGACAGGACAGACACCTGCAGGTCCTGGTCGGAGTCACGAATTGCAGAAAATACCTCTTCTAGCGAGTGTATGGACAATCTCTTGTAGCTCCTATCAAGATTGTTAGTTACCTGTCGGTTTTCCTGGCTCAAGGGTCCTGCTCCGGTGTAGGCTTGGCGCGCAAAGAATTTACCAAGGCCAGGACGCGTTGGTAAGACTTACATCCCGGACGGCAGTCTCCTCGTCGATCTTCGTCTGGAGACTCTCAAAAATACGTTGGTCAATCATTTTGCTGCTTGGTTGTGGTTGTAGATAGGTTGAAGGCAGATCTGCGAGGTGTGGTTCACGGGTGTGTGGAAGTGCGTTACGTCAAATCCATGTTAAAAAAACAGGATAGCTTGCGCAACATGCCACAATTCTTTGCTCGAATTGAAAGTTATATGATGAGCTTTGATATCACGTCCTGAAATATGTTTTACTTCTGAAGATGAAATTCCCTCCGGGTGAAGGTCATATGAGGCACTTTTACTATGATTTACGACACCAGCCTACATCTACATCTCGCAGAACGATTGATAAGGCTTTTAATGCTTCTAAGCTGCTCAGAAATAAACTGAATCTGAAAAAAGAGACTCGTATGTGATCTTTGTTCACCCCTAATCAAAATGATTGTAAAACGACTCCTCCGCAGAAAACAAGAGAACGCCAGAACCATGACCATATTTGCAGGTTTATTTTTGCTAGATCAAGTCTAGCGATCGTCATAAATATCGTAAGGAAGCGGTACACACACTGGCCGGTGCCAGGGTGATCACGCAGCGAGGGAGGCAATGCTTAGTATCGGTATCTGGTCGAATAATCTGCAAAAACCGGCTGTTAGCGAATTGTGCTTCTATTCCAGAATAAAGATTGAACCTACCTTTGGGGCTGACCACCAAACCACGGCCCTTCTTGGCGCCCTTGTATATCGTCTCGATGATGTCGATCAACTCCTGCTTGTCCTCTAGCACCCAGTTCAACTTGTTGTTGTTTCCAGTGCCGAAATCGCACATCATATGCTTGTTGCGGTAGAAGAACATGATCGTCATCCGGTCGTACAGCTCGTACATCTGGTTGAAGTCTGGGACCTGGTCAAGGTCGCATAGGTAGATGACAGCGAAGTCTGGTGGTAGACATGTTAGCTGCTGCTCGGTTTGCCTCGGGAATATCTCGGTCACTCACTCTTTACCCGCTCGGCAATTTTGTAAAGTAGCTCATCTTGGCGGATACCTGGGGGAATGGTTAGTCCAGGACCGTGGCAATGGATCCAGGTGACACTTACAGTCGGGATCGTGGTCTCGCCCGAATCGGATCACCACCAGGCGTTCTTCTTCAGAGAGAATAGCCTGGTCCACATGCCAAGCTGTTTGCAAGTGAGGAAGGACAATTGAACCCATCGCGATGGCTGGTTTTGTGTTGACAGATCCGAGTATGCGGAGTGGGAAAGAGTTGAAGGCTTATCGATTGGGCCCCGCGATCAAAGCTGTTGCGTCATGTGACCGCTTTGTTTGGAGTGGCAATGTTGTATAATTGTTGTCCTCCGTAGTAGGGTGTTGCCAAAACTGCTTGTCCATGGGTCTGATTCTTAGTGTGTTATGTTAGAAACATCACAGTGATGATTTCAAGGTTAACTTGTGGACCAAAGCGCCTCATGGATCTTGATGCCAAGAAGTACATTGTAGGACGCGATCTACGATCTACAACATATATGACAGCCAGGGAATCTGCAAGCAGTTACTGAACGTCTTACCTAAACTGCTTGGTCTATCGCCCAGTGTCATGTTGGAGACGTTTTATGTAGTCGTGGATGGCGTCCCATTGTATCTCGGTATCCGACCAAACAGTACATTGTAAGACACGATCTAGAACCATGGACTATTCAGCTACAGAGATCAATGAGGGTATCGTACCTTGGGACGTTCCAGTGCCACCTAAGGGAAAGCCGGGATAACACGAGTCTCTATACTGAGAACACTAGTTACTATGTACGGCATACAAATATCTTCTCCAAGCGCCCGGACAAGCCGAACAATTGATGAAAACGAGTTCGCGTCGATCGGGGGTAGTGTAAGCCCAATGACACTGTGCAACAAGGCATGCGCAAGCACAGGGGCCT